TTCAAAAATGAAATTACTATGCCTATAATATAATGGCATCCATTCGACATTGTTTTCGAAAATAAACAGTCTTCCCCTTTATATAAAGGCACGGCAAAATTAGCATCTTCTGTATTTGTAAATCTTCCAAAAATCAACAACTTTTATATTTTCCATGATTATCCACACCGATATTGGTAATACTATGTATAGGTATAGTTCTTGGGTGAATATAATAAATAATTCTAGCTGATTTATTTTCTAAAAGAGACGGTAAGATCAAGTTATCGCCCGCAAACGCGGGCGGTAAGTTGAATTTACCGCTCGATAAAAGTAACTTTATACTTTAATTGCTCAAGCTACAATTATCATTTTCCGGAAAAATCTTATCCTGCCTTGCTTACTACTTATCTCTGTAGGTAGGTAATTATGTTTTATAAGTATGTCCTGTTTTATTCTCGCACTCGCAGATCACTGTGATCAAAGTGAACCTGATAAATGTCCAGTGGTTTTTGACAAAAATATGAATACTACTTCCTAGAGAAAATTAAAATGTTATTTTCGTAAGATGATATTATGAAATTAAATTAGGTTAAGGTATGTAAGTACATTGATGGTGGCGATTGTGCACGTTTTTTTGTTTTTATTAATTTAACTCTCAAAAAAGTAGCTTGAATAGTAGCTTTCACCAATTCAATATGTAGTTAAGTTACCAATAGCTTAGCTACTTTTTTAAAGAGGTAGTTGAGCTACTGAGTAACTTAGCTACTTACAATATAAAGTAGCTTGTAACTTGTAGCTAGCTACTTTTCCCAAGTAGCTTGCCCAGCTCTGATTCAGACAATCTTAAATGCACAGAGCTATGCAGCTGTAATGTTGAACAACAATTGTCTCCACAATTTAAAATTTTAACCCCTATAGAGGGATGGGGGGTGAAATATTCTGATTTCGGGGTGGCAAGAACCCGTTTTGTATTTAGAAGAGCATTCTTGAGAGGACTACATAGGTTACTTGCTTTAATCACAAACTTGCCACGGAAATGCCCTATGCGCCCCTACTATAAGCATTTACTACAGACATCAGTTGATTCAACCCGGAATATTGATTCTGCTAACTAATAATATTAGGTGCAATAGGTATTTCTTGTTTATTGCTTCAACTATAAAAGTTAGCCCAGACAATTTTTTGTTGCAGACCAAATATTGATTATTTTCAAACAAATACAGGTCTATACAACCAATTTATTTAGTAAAGGTAACTAAAAAATATTGGTTGTTGCAGCCACTCCTAAAGTGTATATACAGTGAGCACGTAAAGGTTGGAATAAAATCTATAAAAGGGTGGATATTTTTCAAAAAACTAGGCAAGAATGTGTGGCTTTGCTCCAAAAATAACCGTTTAGGTTTTACAGCCTGTCAAAGTTGCAAAAAAGTCAATTTTCAACTGCCAATATTTCCGAAACAGTTGAAGATAGGTAAAGGACATGATACATGAACTATGTTCAGAATTTAACATAGAATTTTAAAATGAAATAAAAAATTGGTGTTTTTATTTAAAAAAATAAAGTTAGCTATCATAACTTGTTTTTGGGTCACCCTGTATACATGGAATTATCATCAAAGAAACGGCCAATATAATCAAAAAATGACGTGTTTGCGAAGTTTTTTGAAAAATATCCACCCTGTATATTTTATAGATTTTATTCCAACCTTTACGTGCTCACTGTATAATAACTAGGAGCCTATTTGGTACGACTATGAAGGTTATTCGATCACCAACTAACTTAAATTGGTTAGTATAACTACATGCCGGAGCTGTCCTCTATTTTACGCACACTTCTTTGAGTCCTTTGTGACACCCAGCAAACACACTGACGTCGATATGACGACATTTGACGTGATTTTTTGGTCCGCATTGGTCTCCGACGTCATGGTACCTAATAATGACGTCAATAAATACGTCATTATTAGGTCGTCTTAATGACGACGTTCAATTATGACATTTTGACGTCATTAAATGGTAAGGAAAAGACATATCTATTTTGTCATCAACATCAATTTGCTATTTATAATTTAGCCGCCCTTATAGTTGATCAATAATTTTAGTAGGTAGGTATTAATTTATTGAATCTCGGATAAACGGAAACTTTCTGCCTAACTAAGTACCTATAATTCCTATTTTTCAATTATTTGCTATTTACCCAAAGGTATACATACATTACATCCACAAGGAAATTATAAACATACAACATACTTCAAATTACCCGCTCACAAATGGCAGTCGGACTCCATCTTGGCGGAGAGCGCCGCGCGCCGGCGCGTGGTGAAACCTGTTGCCTGTTGGCGCCGTGCCCCGTGCCGTTGGCAGAGATGGATGTAGGTACGAGGTGCCGTGCGAGAGCGAGATCATGGGAAACCGAAACTCGAATAATAATTTCTCCTTTAATTACCTACCTTGTACCTCTATACCTACTCATATTTAAGTTTATTGTGAAGGCTGATTATAGCTTTGTGGTAGTGTCAAAAATGGCATTTTTGTGGGTGCAATTTGTGTGTGAAAACTAATTCTGTAGTGAATAAAAATTGGGTGTCACCGAGAAAACACGTTTGGTGGCCGCCATTTAAACTCTAGTTTGCTGGTGGATTAGTAGAAATAGCGTCTAATCCACCTGCAAGCTAATGCACAGGCTACGCGAATCACCCTGTTTAATTCAGTAGTTTATTATCAACGTTTTTTTTTTTTTTTTTAAATGGAAAATTATTTGTTTCGTGATTTTACGGTCACAGATTACGTTATATATTCGTCATAAGTCTCAACTAAATCACGTCACAAAAAGACGGCATTTTGTCGTAACATAATGACGTCATGGGGCTGTGACATTAACCCGTCATTTTTTCGTCAAAATGACGTCATCTTTTTCGTCCCAATGACGTAAATGAAATCCAATTAGTCACGTCATAATGACGACAGCATGTTTGTTGGGCAATTACTAATTTTTTTAGTTATAACAGCCTTTTTTCTCTCGGTGCGCAGAAATAACTTTATCAGCCTGAAAAGTGCCAAATTCGAGTAGATATTAGACAAAATAAAAAATTGAATCGGTAAAAAAAATAAAAATTTAAGAAAGGTGGTCAGTCCTCAAGCGGGACGGACACACTGTATAAAGGGTGAATCTGAAAGTGAGGCTTTTTTTAACAGGGCATATAATACTATCTCGCCAAAATAAGTTATTTGGCAAAAAATTATTTACATAAAAAATTTAAGATAACGGATGTACAGGTATTTGAGGATGGATATTAAAATTGATAGGTTGAAAATGAAATAAAGAGTCTTTGATTGATTTTTCTGATGAAATAATGCAACTGTAGATTACCTATTATGGAATAAAACTCATTATGCTGGACAAATAACGGCTTTTTTTCGAGAAAATGTGAACAAAATGTTTTATAGTTGGATGCCTTTTCTCCAAACTGGGGAACAGCGTTCTCATGAGAATCATTCTCATGATTGATCTGGTCTTTGTCAGTGTTATGCAAATTTGAGTATGGGCGACTAGGGCGACGAAGATAGGACCTTCGTTCTCATAAGAACGCTGCTCCCATGCTTCGAGTTAAGGACCCTAAGTCTTCTTACGACCTTGAAATACCTACCTGTAACCTGTAACTCCGTTATCTTAAATTTTTTGTATAAACAATTTTTCGCCAAACAACTTATTTTGGTGAGATATATCCCGTTAAAAAAAAAGCCTCACTTTCAGATTCACCCTGTATGTGGCCTGATTACAAGTCAAACGTCAACAAACACTTGAAAGAGGATGTTGTGCCGAAAAAACTGCAGTGCATTAGCTTCAAACTTATTAAACAAGAAATTCAATCAAAGCAAAGCCGAACCATAGTTCGACCGGGTCGACCAAGTCGTAAGTCGTTATCTCTAATATGACTCGCGTAACTAAATATTTGTCTAGAATCTAGAGGAAAATGAAAAATAATTTTATCTTATAGTGTCCCATAATTTAAGCTTTATTGTCGTCAACACTCGACACAGAAGTGATCCATTATGTTCCTAGGACCATAAAAACCTTTATTTATGGGGTAATTTGTTCGATTTTTTCTCTCATATTATGCTCTAACTTGTTCGTTTCAAATTTTTTATTCAATATTATAATTTAAATTATTGCAAAAATAAAAGTGGGACTAAATTTAGGACTATATTTTTGAATTAAACACGGGTGTTCGGGTTAAATCTGTTTCGGATGTTTGACAGTTCAAGGACTATCCAATCGGTTCATACTCTGTGGTGGGGAGTATTGGGGACGCTTTTCGAACTATCAATTTTTGTTCTGACGTTGAAGTTAGATTTATTCACAAATTTCCATATTTATTTTGTGTCTGTATTTTAAGTGGTTCTGTTATAATTATTAAGAAAGAAAGAGATCCGCACACCTACAGTACAGTGAAACAATAAAACAAAGTCCTATAGGTTATAGTTGTGGAAGGTAATATTCCAGTCGCTTGAAGATCAAATGTTGTATGCCATTCGGTCCAGAAGGTGTTGGTGTTTTGTGCTTCGCTCGATTGTAATAGTCCGCTAACGCGTCGGCAGCCCCACTTCTATTCTTGGCCTAATTCGCCTAGTGACATAAATAACTATTATCACCCTAAAGCGGTTTGGAATTATCTATACGAGGAAAGTTGAAACTTTTAGCTTCCAAATATTTCCAGTTTTTTTTTCCTAATAATTTTCCTCTCGAACAATGAAAAAAGTCGTCAATTTTGATTTTACATGCAGAAAAATATGCTGAATGGTATTTATTCTTAATAAATTGTGTCTTAATCCCGTATTGCTCCTTAAAACGACGGCATTTGTTCGCTTAGCCGCTGTCCTGTTTACATTAATAATACATCTATAAAAAATTTAATTTAGCCAATTTCCTAGTTACATTCGATACGCGCGCCCACGTCAATGTCCCGAGCCGTGAGTGGGGACAGAAACGATTATAAAAAACGAACACTCTAATAAATATCGAATCGAAGTCGGGTTTAGTCAAAGTTTAGTTGTCTTGTCACTTCGATATTCCTTTCGCTTTGACTTCGTTCAGTTTCTTCGTATTGACGCAGTTACGAATAGTATACCTATATTTCCCTTATTAAACTTACGTTTTGGAAAAGTAATTTTTTTTTTCTAAATGTGTGTCGGAACCGCAAGAGTGCCAAATAGTGAAAACGAAATTGGATTTCCTTTGCAACTGAAATATGTACCGGCAATCGAAGGTGCGTTTTCTACAAGAGGAAATATTGAAGAAAATCAAAATATAGAGCAGCTAACTCAAACTCATGATGTTCTCGCTATGATGACAAGTTCGACCAAAGATGTACTATTTGGCTTAAGCGATTATTTTGGAAGTTTAAGCGAAACTACGACATATAAGTTAGTGGTATTTTTAAAAGTATAAATCGCTAGGTAAAGGTACGGTTTGTTAGGATATACGCGACGCACAACTGACAACGTAAACGTCGTCATTGGTTCAGGTATGACGTACACCCGTTTTCTGACGTCAGCGTCAGGAAACGGATATATAAAATAGTAATATTATGAAATAAGGGCAATTGGCTTGTCCCTTTAATTTGATCCCCAATTCGGGAATTTCTTCAATAAAAAAGGTTTGAATGTAGGTACTTATCTTAGTTAGTAGGTAGGTAGGTACCTGCCAGTCTAGTTTTAAACTGTTATATTTTGAAAATGGGTACTTATTCATCTTCTGTAATGCCTGGTTCATACTTCTGAATTAAGAATTAAACTAAATTGGGAATTAAACTAAACTAAAAATTTAAATGTTAAACGTTCATAATTTGATGCTGTCGTTTATACCTCAAATTAAAAAATTAAATTAATTTAAATTAAATTGAAAGTTGGCTAACTTCCAACTAAGAATTAATAATTAAGGAGATCGATCTATTTAGCTGGTTTTTGTTTATTTCTATATTCCTTTCTGTCATTTGTGAATACGTAAAGAGCTAGCTAATTTCAAAAAATCTTTAATTCCTAATTTTAGGTATAAACTGCATTTCTAAAGTTTAGTTTAATTTAACTTTCAATTTATTTCTTAGTTTAGTTTAGTTTAATTTTTAATTTTGGAAGTATAAACCAGTCATAAGAATGCTCGAATTTTGATTATCTATTCATTAACGTATCGGTATCATTGGTATCAATAATTGCACTCTGTGGAATGTGCATAGGTAGGTATTTCAATAAAAATTCCAGGAAATGCTAAAATTTTACATTTTAATTCCAATATTAAGTACCTATCATGACAGACGTCACGTACGTTTTAGCTTTTATGTCTCGCACAACTAACCAATTAAGTAGGTAACTCGAGAAGTAACTTTGCAATCCTTGAGCTTTTATAACTTATTATAATATCTACCTATTACCATTACTTAAATATATTGGAATAAGTTGCTAGATTTTATATTATTATATCTAGATCTTATTATTAACAGCATTTTGAATAAATGTATATATTTTTTTTTAGAATATTGCGCAATACTACTCAGCCAGCCCATCTCGTCACATCCGTAGCGGTTCTTTGCATAGCTTTCCTGTGCTTTCCAACTAAGTCAGCTGTAGCTACATTATCTCCTCTATGGACCCTTTTGTATTTGGGTTGTTTTAGTGTGCACTTCGGCGTCCAAGTCTGGATGTTTATATTTCAGCTTGCCGAGGCACACTTTTAGCAGTGTGCAGCAAGTACTTTTCCCTAAGTACTTCTGCTTAAATTCCTTCCTGAGCCTTATCACCCTAGCTATCTTCTTGAGAGTTAAGAATGGTCAGCTTGGGACTGTGGAAAATGGAGTTCAGGTAATCACTCTTATCATTAATTTTCAAATTCATAATAATAATACTAATTAAAAAAGAAAACTCAAATATTTCTTCTATTTATAAACTAATATTTTTTTCTCTTTTGTTACAGGCGTTTGCAATGTCGTTTTGCTTTTTTACTGAACTTGTCATATTTCTTTACTTGACTCCTCCCTCACTTGCTTTGATTGCCATTAAAACTGAAATTGAAAAAGAAGCAGGAGTTGGGCTTGAAATTGGAAAACTGGAACCCGGAAAACTTCTCAAATGTCCACACTATATGAAAGTCCACAGATCTTTCAGAAAGATTCATATGTCGATTGCAATGGGCAATGTTTTAACCATGGCGTGTACATCCTCACATTTATACTATCTTTCCTGTAAACTATGTGCCCTTAGCTTGTGAAAATTATTTATTTATGCTTATTTATTTATTTTCAAAAAGACGCATCCTGAAATATCATAATTTAGGAAGAATATTTATTAACTAGGCTAAGTTTATGTAGGTGTGTTTTTCAAATTCAAAATAAGTATTAGGTATTTGTGTTATCTTTTTTGTACGACCAATATTCATTTTTATATAAAAAGACAGACTAATGATTAGAAATATTTTTTGTAATAACATGAAAAATATACTTTATTATTATTATTTTATTAAAATACCTGAACTGAATAGAAAAAAGCTTCAACAGAGTTATCATGTAAGTCGTAAGTAAATGGTGTTATTGAAAAATTGAGAATTTGTAGAATCTTAAAGACTACCTATACCTAGAAAACCAAAATACAATCTGAATAATAGCACATACCTTCCTATACTCTAATAGCAAACGAGGAAAAAATCCTTGTGGGCTCTTTGAGGATATTATTATTGTGAGAGGCTCTGGTTTCTTTCTTTGGGCTGTTTATCACCTGGATGGATGGTGTTTTTGCCCCGGGGTTTTCAGCTCTTTTTAGGATTTTCTCTCGCACTTCTTGAAGTTTGCAAAAATGCAACCGGTAGGCTCATTGAAAATGATTGGGTAAAAAAAAAAACTTCAGGTCGTGCAAGAGTTACCGCGATTTTTAGCCACGAATAGGGACGCATGCCATCCACACCAAAACAAATTTTACTCTTTCAAATCAACCTTAACTGTAACTATATGATATTGATACAGTGGCGGTCCATAGATGATTTTCTGTGCGGGGTAATGGATGACGGGAAAATCATTAAGTGCCGAATGGCTTCCCGCCGGAGGCGAAATTTTTTTAAGGGTGCCACGCCCAAATTTGTACCTGAAAATCGTCTGAAACACACCTCAAGCAAAAATGTATCCCGATGCCGGCAAAATAGTTATACAGGATGTCCACATAGTAGACGATATCTCCTTTCAGGGTAATGCAAGAAAAAAAAATTAAATTACAAAGTTGTTTGATACTCTAAGATCCATTAGTAGTTTAAAATATTTTTGAATATACACTGGGTGTTCCGTAAATGAGGTATGTGACAGACCTTTGTTATTTTAAATGGAACACCTTACATTTTAGAACATTAATGGATTGTTCTAACAATCCTATATAATTTTTCTTAGGAACTAAGTGGGACTCTCGACTGACAGGTCTTGTAATTTTGCATGAATCAGTCTATTTTGCGTAAATCAGTCTTTTCTTTACAATGGATTTTTTGTCAAATATGACAGTTCCTGTCATTGCCTTAGGTATAGCTGGGTGAACCCGTTTTACAATAGGAAAAAACGGGTGTCCCACTTTCTGACTCTGTGCTCACGACTAATAATTTATTGCATAATATTGATCATGAATTTATTTACTGTATTGAAATCAAGCCAATAATCGGATTAAAATTTGAACCCATCACAAGTTACGAACGCCTAGGCTGTGACGTCATACCGGCTTCGGAAGTACAGTTTCAACACGTGCAGGAATTTTTCAAAGCAAATGTCCACGATCTCATTAGAGCGAATGGCAACCACTCAAAGTATAGGGCACGGTTCACTGAGGACTGAACGAACGGGAGGATGGCATCTCGGCGTTTAGCCGGTGTGACGTTACAAGTTTTCGCATAATTTATCTTCATAAAAAACATTCAGATTTCATGTATTCGAATGCAGGAAAATTTCTACATTCAAGTACTTTTTGAAATATTTGAAACTTTTTAAAAAAATCGCAGTTTGCATGTGTCAATGCATGTATCAACAAAAACCAACACATTTCATTCATTTGAGATCCTTAAGCTAAATATTTTGCAGGCTGTTAGTGTATACTTACATTTACTTCATGTTCCTATGAAAATCTGATAACATTCTATAGGGTGTTCGCAATACTGTAACTGTACACAAAACCAGATATTTCAAACAACCATAGCTTTTTTTTCAAATGAAATACCTTTTATTTCACTGTATTGTAGTAGGTACGTCGATACTGGTGAGCCTATCAATTTATACAATGCCTTCTATGCTTTACTTTATAGAACTTTTCTTTTGTTGAAATTTTATTCTTAAGTGTTTAAAAAAAATCTTTGTCTGGGGGGGGGGGGGTAATTACCCCCTCTACCCCCCCTTTAAACCGCCCTTGTATTGATATATTACTGGGGGGACTGCATAGTTTCGCTAATAACATTTCTATCTAAAACTATGTTATTTGCATGAAATTGTGTAAGATCTGAAATTACCTAAAACATATTATTTCTCTATGGAAAAGATTCGCTAACCGTTTTTAATTCTTTTCTCGAGGTACCCAGTACCATTTTTCCACAGGGACGGCGAATTCGTGGTTCAAGATTAATTTGATAGACATAGGCTGGCCGCACCAATGCCGCATCAATGTATTTTGAACATATTTATTATATAAATGCGGAAGCTCAATATTATAATATTATTTCTTTAATTGGTTCAAAAACAGCAAAAATAGTTATTTATTTACAACTGACATATAATGTAAGAATTATATTTGTGTATTTGGCAGTATAACGCCATATATTATTCCCGCGGGGATTAATGGTAATTATTCCCGCTTGCACACCAATCACAAAATTTCTCAAATTAAATAAGTAGTACTACCATGGAAACAATATACCTGAACAAACTCAAAAGTGTCAGTGTCAAACGCGTAGTTTTTGTGTATTTATATTGAGATGGATGAACAAGGAGCGTTTTTGAAAAGGAAATTTCAAATAAATTAATTTGTCGTAAATAAAGTAGTAGTACTCGCAATAATGGCTATTATTCCCTCGGAATGTTACTCCCTCGCCGCTAACGCGGCTCAGTTCGTAAATATTCCTCGGGAATAATAGCTATCATTATTGACTTGTGGTATAATCTACTATTATGTATCAAGGGAAATATGAGGGTTTTAATACCCCAGGGCAAAGTTTGTGGCCCGTGGGTATTAACACCTGATAATTTCCGTGGTACATAGATAATTTTATTTCCTACTGAATTTAATGTATTTTGTCCATTTTTATAAAGAAATAAACCATAAACCAAAATTTCTATTTTTTGTCAAACTTTCACCTATTCAAGGTGAAAGCGGGAGTTATGGAAATCCTTAACTCCCTTGGAAGTTACGACCCTGTTTATGATTATCGTAACCAAGGTATGAAATAGTTATAATAGTTCAGTAGGAAATAAAATATTTTTTTCTACCCGCAAAAATATGTAAACACACAGGCTGGAGCATGCTCATGCACTCGGCCACGTTAATTGTCCTGACGCGGGCGATTTGTATCTATGCGTCGGAGTGCTGATGCTGGCCCCCCGGCTTCGTCACAGAATATCGTCGACGGCAAGTATACGTACTTACGCATCTGTATTAGGTGATCTGTGCCTGTGGACTGTGCATATAGGTAGGTGTAGGAATATCAATAAAAATTCCAGGCAATGCTAAAATTTTACATTTTAATTTCAATATTATCTATCAAATATATTTTTTGTAATAAAATGAAAATGAAAAATATACTTTATTCTATCGCTAATGGTAAACTATCATTTAATCGACTCAAAACTCATTGTTAAAGTAGCACTTTATTTGAAGTAGTGGAATCGAACAATTTTTACCCACTCATTTGTCAATTTTACCCACCCATACGTCAATTTTACCCACTCATACGTCAATTTTACCCACTTGTTCAAATCTTTTATAATTAGGCAATTCAAACCACGTAACATTCAAGATGGCGTGGCGGCCACACATGGTCCAAAAAAAACAAAAAAATATCTAGTTTCTGTCCGAATTAATAGTTTAGGTACCTAGTCAACAAATATTTTATTAAATAATCAAAATCAAAGTTGTAAGCAAAACTGTATGCAAAATAATTTAAAATACGCATAAAAACATATTCAAAACAAACTTGCTTGGCCGCCACGCCACATTGAATTTTCCTTTTCAACACAGATGGATTGAATTGCCTAATAATAATAGTGTTTTTGACAAAAATCTGATATGTTGCATGATGTGTCAGTTTGTTAGGTACTTTGTCAATTTGTCATAATCTATGTAAAATTTTAGCACATTTAAATTTATGATAAATAAAAAGTGGCTCAAGAATGAAATAGAATATTACACACGACGGTAAAAAAGCTTTACCTATTCGTGGAATTAATCCACTCGCTCCTTCGTCGCTCGTGAATCAACATTTTCCACTCACAGGTAAAGCTTCTTTTTACCGTCTTGCATAATAAATAACTATTACTATGATTATTTTGATGATGCATAATTTTTGAGCTCTGGTATTTATCGTTTTTGGAGGTGACAAAGTTGTATGATTTTTTTGTTTTTTACGTTAAAATGAATAGGAGAGTGTGTGTTGTGCAGTGGGCTTTGAAACTTCAACATAAAATCGACATTTCCCTCTGGAAACTGCATTATTCCTAGGCATCTGCTTGAAGTGAAAGAATTACTGCAAAAAATTGTAGCAATAAATTCCTCCGGTGCCGGTAAACAAAATCCGGGTTACTTGACTTTCAACATTGCAAAACAACTGTTCACAGAATATTAACTTAAATACATCGCTCCTCAAACTTTAATGGGAGAGCCAACAACTTTCAAGGATATGTATGATCTGCTTGTGGCAGAAGGCAAAAAGCTCGGCAAAAAGCTCGGCAAAAAGCGAACTGATCTGCTTACAAATAAAATAACAGCCAGTGAATTAAACGTCACGAAACAAATAAAAATGTCGAGCGAAAAGTTTAAAAAGATTGAAGAAAGACACATCTAACTGGAGAGAAAACTGCGTCGAAACAACATCTTACTCTTTGGGTTTCAATGCAGTAATTCCAATAACCTAACGAAATGCTCAATTGACAAACTTAATGATTTGTTGTTAACAAATATTAAAATTGAATTGGCGACATAAATAACGTAGGTATTGTCTGGCTAGCCAAACGGCGAATTGCAATAGAATTTGCTGCTTTGTCAAACTTGACGAAAACAATAATAAACAAGTTGGTGACATATTTTTTTTTGCTATATGGGCATGTGTAGTATTTTGAAATATTTAGAAAAAAATACAGCAACATTGCGAAATGATGGATGTGGAGAGGCGTGATTATTCAGAGGCATGATTCTATTGGTTAGAGCCTGAACCACAGCACGGCGCAGTGGCGGGGTCATCGGCGAAACTCGAGAATTTTTTTCTAATAATTTTATTGATTTATTTCCTTGGCGTTTTCGGTGCCACTGAACTCATGTAACGTCCCTAAATTAATGTAAAATCACCTTATCAAAATTGATCCATTGTTTTGCAAATTTTCTATATCAAGGACAATTTTTCCATTAACTGTGCCTTCCTTCGTAATCAAATATCTTAATAATCCTAGATCCTTTGACTATAAAAACAAATTTTATTAATTATTTACATATTTGCCGAAAGTATATAATTTCTA